TGAATTTGAACTCATGCAGGAATAGTAGAGGAACGCTATGAAAGTCAGCTGTAGCTATTAAATATATGGCGATTAGAATTGACGAAAATAACCGGTAGTCTAGCATAGGGCATTAGCTTGGCTTGCGATTTTCACTGCTAAGCAATAGGTGCCAAAATCAAACAGAGTTGTGTTTAATACGTGACATAAACTTGCATTGTTTAGAGATTGGGTTCCCTGTGTCGTTACTCGAAGTATTTACCTTTGAGTTCGCTCGCTTTAATCCTCAATCTAAACTGGTAAGATAGGCAATCGGCCTTATATTTCCCTTTGGACTTCTATTTTGTTTAGTTTCTTGTTATCTTGTTGAGTTTTGAGATGAATCTTTTAATAAATCGATAATTTGAATCACATTTAGTTTTTGAATGTAACTACTACACGATCGACGGCTTTTGAACGGCTTCCAACTTACCTTTGAGATCGTTTATATCCCACTTTATATCCTTAATCTAACTGGTAAGATAGGTAATCTGCCTTGATTTCCATTCCAATTTCTACTTTGATTAGTTCTTTGTCATTTTGTTGAGCTTTGAAGCGAATTCCGTTTGAACTTCAATTCAAAAGAATTTTAAAAGACTTCAATCGGCGTTAACTCTCTTGTTGCTTACTGTGGCTTTCTGACCTTTCTCTAAAGAAAATAAACTCCTCCAAGTCTTGAAGTCTGGCCTTTGCTTCATATATTACGGAATACTGCTTTTGTTTTTGGGCCTTCATTTTGGTAAATATGGAACATATATGTTGACAACACGACTGTAAATAAGTGATTTCGATTTGCTTACTTGAAGTTAAGATTTCACACTTTGAAAATCTAAGTTAGGCATTTCAGTTTAATTATCTCACCCCAAACCGAATCTTCTTTTATATTTTTTCCATCAGAAATATATAATGATCCGAAGTAAAAGCTATGTGCGAGAGTGCGCATACTCAATCTAATTTCTAAGTGCTTAGCTAGATAGATTATCCCACATTGAAAAATAAAGCTCTAAATTCTTATACAAATAGTCGATCAAGTCCTTATATGGCAAGGAGCTTAGGAGCTTCACCCGGCATTCGTAAAAGAACTTCGAGTTTCGGGTAGTGTTCGTAAATAATGACGTAGGACGATCGATTAACGTTTAAGAATCGATCTGCTAACAAATGATTGAGCGAGCGAGTGAGCGAGTGAGCGAGTGACATTCAGACCCCTCACAATAACTCGTTTCTACGCTTCGCGTATCCACGAGTTAAAAAACTTTCAAGTTACCCGTGGGGGTAGGGCATAGGTGGGATTCGTACAGAGCCTGCAATATCGAAGACAGTAGCTGTCCGCAAGTAAGATACCACTACCATCTGCTATCAATCGTGAAGCATTTGGATCAGGAAGCGAAAATGCCAAAGCATTAGCCCTACAAAATGCTCAATATTCTTTTATCTTTTTTACCAAGCAAACCGCCTGGCAACAACGGTTCCCGCGAGACCCTCTCATGTTTTCGGGGTTGACCAACATAAACACATCCTCTCCGATTGCGCTCCTTTACTTTCASACTTCTACTACTTTCTCACCTTCTTTGTTTTCGACATAGGTAGCCCGAGTAAACGCCAATAAGGGCGTCTAGTTTCTATCAAATTCAAGATGAATTTTGTGCTTCTTACATTTTTAATAAGCTTTAATATCTTGAATGATATTGAATTGGAAACGTATAATTCTTTAACATTTTGAAATGGTGTAAGTCGGTTAAGGATATTTAAGACAATAAAACATTTTTGTGTGTGTTATATATCGAGCCTAAATGTGTAATAAACAAATTATTACATGCAGAAAGATAACCCAATTTATTGAAAACTAAAAAAAGATCAACAATGAGGAAATAATTGAGGAAAAAATATTAAAATGTCACAAAAAGTTTTATGAATGAATGAAATGGTTTGTGAATCGCATGCATGTAGGAAAAGAATGAAATCAAAATAGGATCAAATAGAAAAAWAAACTATAACATAACAAAAGTAAACAGAAATAAACTTGTCTTGTTATGTAGTGAGTTGGATCACACGGATATCTCTGGTTCAACATTATATCAACCCATCATACGAATGCTTTTGAGCTGAGCTGAAAGATAAATTATATGGCATAATAAATAATGGTTATACCATACCAATGCTATAAATAACCATGCATGCGTGCATAAAAGTAAGTTTATAAAATGAAGTGCAATTAGCTTTTCATATTAGCTTGTAAACTAACAAAAYATCTAATATTATAAGCTTACCTGAATCTAAATATGTATGTTCAACTGAGCCAAGAGAAGCTGCTTCGGTGAAACCACGATATTGGGTTTCAGTTAGCCCAGAGCTCATGAATCCATGAATTACTCTATAGCAATAGAACATWATTATTACTTATTTTGAGAGCCGAAAAAGCAAGTTAGCTTGGCTTACTAAAAAATGCAGTGCTCACCTGAGGTTTGCAACGTATTTGGACTTCAAGATTGGCGAACTAAACCAGACAGTTTCATGGTTGTTTTCGCATGTGAAGCTAATACGGACCTGCTAATACGGCCACAATGCCCTCTTCTTTCCATCTGGAAGCTATCGAGAAGTAAAAACCCACCACAAACAGAACAGCATCCTTTGGACTCCGTCAAGCCCTTCACCAGGCTACGAATTGTAGCTTTACAAGCGATAAAGTACTTTCCGCCGTCGTCCTCCAGAGCTGTTTGGATTTCTACTTTTGAAGGCTCATGACCAGAGGAAGAAGAAGGCGGAGCGATAACTGGAAGTTTTACATCTATTGTCCCAGACGTCTCCGGCCGACCGGCATCACTCTTTTTCTCACGATGGGAGTCGTAAAAATCTATAAGCTTCGAAATCCATGAATAATTATTGCATTCGCCCAGTATTTTTTTCGATTCCGCTATTCTGGCGCGAAGTAAGGAGAGTTTCTCCTCGTTATCTTCAAATTGGAGAGTAAATCTCGATCTTTTTCGACTTTCTTTTGCTGCCATTTTTGACACCAACAGGAAGACAACATGAAAACTTATAAAGTGTCAAAGCTGCCAGTGTTTTCCCGCGCAAACGTGTGTCAAAACTTGGAGAAAAAGGCGGGAACACTATGTTGCTTTTTGTGAGTTTCTTGTCACGGCACAACTAAACACATTACGCTTTGTTTACGTTTTTCGGTACGGGTATATTTCAACTTTTTGGGTCACAACTTCGATAAAATCATGCTTATAACATTCCTTTTTCATTTATAAATGTATTTATTAACAAATTAGGGAATATATATTTGTTAAATTTAAACAATGATGATGTTTTTTTGAGCACTGGACTTCTGTCCGCTAGCTGTCGTCTGCCATTTTGGATGTACCATTTTCAAATTTTGAATCTCGAAACTGACGTGAAAGGGGCCGGGGGCGGAGCCTCCCCTTTTATACCGGAACTTCCTGTTTAAGAAACGTCGTCACTTCTGCGATTTTTCTCTTTCCTCGAAGAATCACAGACTTCGCAGAGGAACCGAAAGGCTCTCTACAAATTTTAATTTTACTGTTCCAAAACACCTAAAGAAGCTTATCAAGACCTTGGCAAACATTTTCATGATGAAGTTTAGTCGTAGGGAAGGTGATTTCACGTGTAGACCACCTACAACTTACAAGGTTAGACATACCTCAAAAAAGCCTACATTTTTGCTTATTCATTTGATATTTGAAGGACGGGCATTTTTCCTTGTTTTTGGACTGCCTTTCGAGAGTTTTTTATAGTAACGATTAATATCCTTTCGTGGGCGATTGTTGTTAACTTTAGAGACGAATCAATTCAGAAATAAGAGAAAATTTTGCTTTCTCGAGTGTCTTTCTTGATCTTGACGAGTCTCCATTAAGATGGCGGCGCCGGCCGGCGGTCAAATCTTTTTATTCGAATGCAGTCTTTAGGATTTATTCTTAGTCGATAGTAATAAAAAAGAAACTGTTGTTAGTCGATTTTTTTATACTTTAGGGAAGAATCGATCCAGAAATATAAGTTACCGATTTTTTTATCTCAGTAGTTTTACTGTCAAGATGGCGGGATGACTTGTTCAAATCCATGATATCGCAGATCTTTTGAACAGAATTGAATTGTTTCGCCAAAAAAGTGTCTTTGGAAGTACGATTTTGTTTTTTTAAATGTTTTTTTAATGTTTTTTTTTTTTTTTTGTTCCTAAATACTGTAAATGATACCATTGAGAATTTTTGAAAATGCTTCATTGAAGATCGATAACCGGTTTGACTTGTTGGTCTAGAACCTGGGAAGCTATGCACCAGTCATTTGACATCCCCCGCACCCCCCCTGAGGCATACCCGGGGACTTCACTTTTTCCCTCAGTGAAAGGTAATGAAAGCCCCGCCCCATGGGAAAATAAAAGTGAAGTCCCCGCGTCATCTTTTGAGCAGTTAATCTTAATGTCAACTGCCAGGATATTTCATATCTTTTGCAGCAGAAATGTGTTTACCGACAAAGAAATAGATTTAAATGTTCAATAATTATTCCATGTAGTACCAGCTTATTTGCTTCCCTTTTTGTTTGTCTTTTTCTTTTTCTGTCTTTTTCTCTATCATAGAGAATGGAAAAGCCATTTTCCCATCGATGGCTTAGAAAAACATAAATATTATATGCGATGAAAATCTTTGGTTGGGCTTTACGAATTTGCAACGTCCCCTGTGATTGGTTAGGTTTAGGGGCAGGGTTAGGGAAAGGTCATTGTTTTCTATTGTTCTACACATGTGTGCCCTCCAATAGGATCACATCTTGCTAATTCGTGAAGGACAACCCAAAATCTTCCCGTCTTCATCTTCATTATGACTACGTAAACACACACGAGGTGCTCACTCTGTCCCAGTCCCCAAAACGGAAAAGTGCAGTCCCCGGTCAGTCCCTGGGTTGCAGCCAAAGCTGTGAATTGAAGCGCTTTCCCCAACCATCAGGAAACCAAATACATGTGAAAATAGGGTGAAATCCCTGCTATGCCCCCGGGTATGCCTCAGGGGGGGTGCGGGGGATGTCTAACGACTGGTGCATTACTAAAACAAGGAACGACCTGAAACCACCTGAAACCATCTTGAAACCACCTGAAACCACCTGAGACCATCTTGAAACCACCTGAAACCACCTGAAACCATCTTGAAACCATCACCTGAAACGAGCCAAAAAATCGAATCTCCATTGAGTTTGTCGTCCAGTTTGTGTATTTTTATTATTGGCTTTTATCAATCGATCAAGTGTTTGTTTTCGTTGGAAGGTATGTTACGTTACTGCATGGTAGAATGCCATATAGTCACCCATACGTATAGTCTCCCATAGAAGTATTCCATACATATACCTCACCACTTCCTTGCCATGATTACCTGTTCCTAGCTATGATCAACCGTCCCTACCTATGATCTACTCTTCCTAGCTATGATCAACCGTCCTTAGCTATCATAAACTGTCCCTAGCTATTATCAGCATTCTCTGCTAATGGTTTCCTGTACCTATATATAGATTAACTTTCCCTATGTACATTTATTTCAATAAAGTTAGTCAC